ACGACGCTCAAGGTCCGGTGCTGGCAACCGGAATCGGCCAATTCATGGCGGGGTGACAATGCACACTAGCGGCTCCGTTCCATTTGCTGCACATGCGAAATGGATGGTAAGATTAATTTAAATGAAATATATCGTTATATTCAGTTGTTGTTAATATATCTTTTTTTATTATAGGCTGCGTCTCTTGGATGTGAGCCAAGCCTGATGGAGCTGTTTGTGGAGACGCACGCGTGGAGTTAAGACCGCCAGAAAAGGGTGCAACAGTTCGTTGATAACCATGCTCAACATTTCATGGTATGTTTGTTCAACCATTTCATTTTGTAAGTTATTATGTAAGTTATTATGTTTATTGAATTGAATATGATGATTACTTGTTTTTTAATTTTTATTTTCAGGAGACCTATAATAATCGGCTAAGGGAGAGATATGGGGAAGATATTTTGAACCATCTAGAATTCGATCCGGATTTGTGGATGGAGGTTGGCTCCTCAGGTGGACCCGATAAAAATCGAGTTTACGGATCTCTAACACTACGACCAATAACTTGCGGTCGACCCATAGTGTTTCAACTGTTGGGAGCTCCCAATCAATATCGAGCTCCAAATCTAAGGAGTTCTAGGCCTTGCAGCAACACACAACTTAGCTCACCGAGAAATATGACCACCTATCAGCGGAGTACGCGCACCTCAAAACGTCTCAAGAGCAACAAAAAGTGGAGTATAAGCAAAAAAAAACGGCTTACGAACAGCTCCGCAAAATGGTTATGAACATGGCAAATAATGGAACATGTGTGCCTAATCCTTTTTGGCTGTATAACCACCAGCCTCCTCCAGGATCTCCTCCTCCTCCTCCAGCTCCACCTTTATATTAATTTGTAATAAACATTATTTAACTTTAAAACTTTATTTAATATTTTTTTTGAAACATATTCAGTTTGTAATGAATATTATTTAACTTTGTTTTCTTTCTTTAATATAAATTTTATTTGCATAATTGATTTGTATTACAATTAATTTACATAGTTTTATATTATATATCCTAAATAATTTTTCAAAAACAATTACCAATGATTTCATACACTCACCGACCGAATTGCCAACGGAATTACCCCGTCGGCATTTAACAGTGGCTGCCACACTTACCAACTAATTTACAGACGGATATATTCGGTCGGTATTTCATACCCCCCCCGACCGACTTACCTACGGAACAACTCTGTCGGCATTTGACAATAGCTGCCACACTTACCAATGAATTTACAGACAGATATATTCGGTCGGTATTTCATACACCCACCGACAGCCCTACCGACTGTTAGTGTCCGTCGATGAATCACGATATCACCGATGGAATACAAATTCATCGGTATATTCAAGCGGGAATTTTTTTTTAGCGCGCAAATTTCATCTGTAAAACCATCGGCAAATGGTTTTTTTGTTTTCCCGACTGATATAGCAACGGAATGTTGAATCATTGATGAAAGGTAACCCGACGGACTACGTCCGTCGGTAAAAAAATCACCAACAAACTTCTAATCACACACCGACGAAATTTTTCTATTGGTAAAACTATGAAATCTTGTAGTGGTTTGTGATTCCATATTTTTTTTATTAAAGACTGAAATGGCTTGTTGTAGAAATGTGTTCCACCATCACTTATTATGGCTCGAGGGATTCCAAATCGACTCATAATATTTTCTTTCAAAAACTTTATCACTGTTTTGTGATCATTGTTTCGACTTCGAATTGCCTCTATCCATTTTGAAACATAATCTACTGTGACTAATATGCACAAGAAACCAAATGATGGAGGAAATGGACCCATGAAATCTATACGCCAACGATCAAAGATCTCAAGATAAGAATAGGATTTAAAGGCATCATGTGACGTTTTGAAATAGATCCCAACTTTTGACAATTTTCACAAGACAAAAATAGTCCTTGAACATGATGGGCCAATAAAATCCATTTTGTAAGATTTTTGCAGTTGTCTTTCTTGATAAGAAATGACCCCCACATGCCTCAAAATGACAAAATTTAATGACACTACTTACAAAATTTAATGACCCTAGAATACTAATACTAATAATAATAATAATAAAGAAAAAGAAGAAGAAGGTGAGAACTTTGAGATGGAATATTAACATAAAGATTTAACAACGATAACAATAAATATCAAGGTTAGAGGATCCACTAACGGTATGTCAAACAAGTATAGTATAAACTCTTAGTAGTCAATTGGAAACCACACACAAAGGAGGTTGCCATTTCTACACACGAAAACACAAATATTTCTTATTTGATGACCTGAGGAACTTGCCATTTCTACACACTTCTATATTTGATGAATGTATGGATTGAGTGGAAATGAAGGGAAGGAAGAGAGAATTTTATAGATGAGAAATTAAAAGGGCAATCATACCACCTATATATAGGCCAGCTGGAGTCTCACACACACACTCTCTCTCTCATTATTTATTTATTTATTTACTTTTGAAAAAGCATGTGTATGTACAGGTAGTTATGATTATGGCTCACATCTTCCCTTGGTTTTACGTTCAAGAACAGCTTAAACGCCTTCTATGGGTCGGGGATAGGCTTCCCATCTAGTTTTCTTAAAAACTAGCAAACAGGGTCTTTTTTAGTCAGATTCCCAAGACTAAGTTGATCATGTTCTTTATGAAATAGTAGCCATAAATTATGAATTGCACGATGCATATCTCCATTAGGATGTGTCTTAAGAGTTAATAGAAGATTATCTAAAGACTCCTTACTCAGGCCATCCTTAATGAATTGTATTTTATCTTCACGGTTTATAGATACCATTTCTAAAGAACGACATTGTGTATTACAAGTCCATTTAGCACATCAATGACAACCTTTCAGTCGTTTTGCACGACGTTTCTTTGAAAAAGTACTTTTACCTATTCTAGGCATGTGTGAAATAAAGGAATTAGAGGACTCACCTGATAATCGGACCTTTTCTTCAATCAACCAGCAAATATCTTCAGGAATTCCATGATTCATTAACAACCTCAATCTTGCACATCTAGCACGGTAAATTTTTGTAATCGCATTCTAAGGTAGAGTGGGAAAATACTTTTTCAATTTTTCAAGATTAGTGTCCATTGTCAAATGAGAATTGAAAGAGAGATTTAAAGAATTGCATAAATATATACACAAATATCAGTTATTATGGGAAACTAAAAGAACCAACTTAAGTCACGGAGTACCATTATCTGCTATTTGACCGGGGTGAGAGAAACTAGCAAAAATCACTGAAAAAGAAACACAAAAACAATGTAAGAAAAAAAAAATCAACCTTTATCTACAAGATCATTCAAACTAGTTGATTCATTTTCACTAGGAAAATTATCAAAGTAAGCTTTCAAACGATGTCCATTTTCCTTAAAAACATTGTCATTCATTGAATTCTCAATATCACAGGCCCCATAAGGATTGTTCCATCTTCATCTTAGCTCTCTAGGGAATGAATAGAGTTGAGAATTATAAAACAAAACTTTTTGACCAGTATCAACTTTTTTACAATTTTCAAAAGTTTTGCAGAATGCATGCGTGTCCTTGAACATGGTAGGCCAATAAAATCCATTTTGAAAGATTTTTGTAACTGTCTTTTTTGATGAGAAATAACTTCCATATGCTTCAGAATGATAAAGTTTAATGACACTACTTACCTCATTGTCGGGAATGAATCTTTGAAATATTTGATTAAGATAATATTTGAATAAGTTAGGGTCATCCCAATAAAAGTTTTTCACTTAATTCAAAAACTTTTCTTTGTCTTGGGTACTCCAATCAGCTGGCAAATCTTTTAAAGCAAGAAAATTGATATTTTTATCATACCAAGGCATTAGACTAAGAGAAAGTAAGGATTCTTTAGGAAAGTAATAATCGATTGGTGTGATCTTAGATGTCAAATTTGTTGTCACTTTTGACAAAAGATTCGCATCAACATTTTCGGTGCTTTTTTCATCCGTGATTTCTTCCTCAGAATAAATCATTCGCAAATCTTCAGATTCATCCAACTTATTTTTACTTAAAGTAGATTCATGTTAATCATAAACTAATTCGTCAATATGATCTATTTCTTGTAAATCATTATCATCTCCAGGTTGCTTGCAAATGTTGAAAATATTCATCTCCAATGTCATGTTTCCGAATGATAGCTTCATCAGTCCATTCCTACAATTAATCAATGCATTAGAAGTTGTAAGAAACGGACGTCCTAAAATAATAGGAAATGAATTACATGCTTTAACAGGTTCTGTGTCTAAGATAACAAAATCCACAGGATAAATAAATTTATCGACTTGTACAAACACATCTTTGACTATTCCTCTAGGCACTTTTATAGATCTATCGGCAAGTAAAAGAGTTATAGAAGTTGGTTTTAACTCACTACTTGACCGCTTTTTATGATCGGCTTGTTTTAACTCGCAAGTGCAAGAGTGTGCGATGTAGCAATTAACTCGGTAAGATCGAGGTCATATCCACAGAGAGCTAGATCTGGAAATTAAGCTAAGTAACAAAAAAAACTCAAGAGAAATTAAATTAACAATAACTTGGTTGAAAATAATTGATGGATTTGTTTTTAAAGATAAAAAAAAATGTAAATAGATTTTACAATTTCAAAAAAAATTCGGACACAAATCTGACTTTAACTTTGGACAGCAATTCGACCCTCTTAGAAGCTTTTTTTTGAGAAGTCTAT